CCTGTGGGTATGAAACTAAATGTCATCAACAGATATGCAAGAAGACAGCAGATAGCAGATGTTTCTTGGGTCGAACTAAATGCATGTGCAAATCCTGAGAAGCTCAAAGATGTTGAGTGAATAGAGGGCAGGTGTCTTTAACCTTCACTTTGTTCTTATCATCCTCAGAATCCCAGGTAGGAAAAGCGGATCTGTCACCGAGCAAAGACTGCCACGGGCACAGCTCCTTTTTAAAGGAGCCTGGCAACTCGCCAGTGTCTTCCTCGCCCACCTCCTCAAAGCCCGCTCGCCTGGTGGACTATCAGAAAGGGCCTCTCATATGATTGCCACCAGCCACGTGTGGCTGCTGAGCGCTTGAAATGTGGCTGGTCTGAACTGAGACGTGCAGTAATGTAATCTACACACTGGATCTCAAAGACTTAATGTGAGAAAAAAAGGATGAAATGTATCTCGTGGATATTTTTATTGATTATATATTGAAATTATATAATATTTGAGATATATTAGACTAAGTAAAATGTATTATTAAGATTGATTTCATCTTTTCTTTTTACCTTTCTTAATGTGGCTTTTAGAATTACCTAAGTGGCTCACATTATGTTCCCATTGCTCTAAACAAATAGGAAGTCTATATGACGTTAGTAATCTCCAAAATATTATTGTCACTAACTTTAGTAAATTTAACTTACTAAGGTATAATACCTATAAGTATTATTTTTCTGTGCATACTCTCTGGGGAATAAAATCAATACCCATTCTTAGTGAGTTTCATATTTTAATTTTGGGGAGTGATCCTCAAATCACTAGATATCAGTAGCTACCTGGTGAACACTGTCATACTCAGCAGTGTGGCCTCATTTCAAGGAGTCAGCCCATGACAGCTCAAGCTGAGATGGTTGCCTTTCAGCTTCAATATATAGGAAATCTGTTTCATTAAAACTGAATTCGTTCAATGCAATTCAGCTAAGCACTCTCCTGGGTACTGTGACAGCCTTCGCTGAGAGCTAACAAGAAGTTGCTAAGAGAGTAGGTCTTAGAAATTATCTCAAGAAAAAAAAAATCTGGCACAGTTGGTGTAGCTCGGTGGTTGCATCGACCCATGAACCAAGAGGTCACTGGTTCTATTCCCAGTCAGGGTACATGCCAGGGTTGCGGGCTCGATACCCAGTGTAGGGTGTGCAGGAGGCAGCCAGTTGATCTTTCTCTCTCATCAATGTTTTTATCTCCCTCTCCCTTCCTCTCTCTCTAAAATCTATAAAAGTGTATTTTTTAAATCATTTGGGGGGGGCGATAAATGGTGATAGAAATAAAGAAAAAATCATTTTGGTAACAGTGAGAAGAAGGCAGAGAACTAATTAGGCTACTATAATAATTCAGTGAACAATGATGAAGGTCTAAGACAGTGAAAATGGGAACATTGAGGAAGGAATGTTTTAAATCAAATTTAAAACAGAAATCTGATTCTGTAACGGCTGCTTAAAACCTCCACCTTACTCTCCCTCACCTCTTCCACATTAACATTCCTTAGTGTTATGATCTGCCACCCACGTAACTTCTTCACCCTCCTCTCTCACCACTCCCCCATCAGCAGTTACTCATTTTCATTCAGCAAGGATTTATAGACCATCTCTATGCACCTCACACCATATGCTACAGCCATATTTGCAATATCTGGACACTCAATGCCACGTCCTGCCTCCCTGTGTGTGCTTTACAGCTGCCTGGGCCTTCCTCTCCTCTCTGCCCCCTCCCCCAGCCTACCCGGAAAACTCTCTATTCTGCAAGACACGGAGCAGGTGCTGCCTCCTGTCTTTCAAACCTCCACTGACCTCCAGGTAGAGGTGGCCATTCTGCATCTCCGTCCTCACAGCATGCCTGTTCTTCCACTATTATTGCACCCTACGTGGCATTGGCTTGTTCATTTATCCATCTTTACCTCTACATTTTAACCCTTTGAGGACAAGGTTTAACATATCTAATTCATCTTACGTCCCTAACAACACTCAGTACAGAGGCTAAAAGTAAACATTCAATACAATTTTGTTGACTGATTTCTCAGATCTTTTCCAGCTCTAAAATTCCATGATTCGGGCACAGACTAAAGATTTTAAAACAATAATTGTGCCCTAACCAGGTAACTCAGTTGGTTAGAGCACCATCCCAATACACCAAGGTTGTGGGTTCCAACCCTGGTCAGGGAACATACAAGAATCAACCAATGAATGCATACATAAGTGGAACAACAAATCTCCCGCTCTCTTCTTCTTCTCTCTCTCTCTCTCTCTCAAAATCAATAAATAAATTTTTAAAAATAAAGTCAATAAAAACATATTTTAAAATAATTGAGACTATGACATATATTCACATCCCACTCGACACAGAATTGTCTATTTGAATTTTCATATTTGGGGTTTTCTTAAATATTCTGCAGGTAACAGGCACAACTGCAATTGCCATACCAGTGTTGGTACTCTCCTGCCTCATCTCTGAGCCCAGTCTGCTTTATGGGTGTTAAGTAAACGTTAGCTGTTAACTCACTTCCTTCCTGATCTGTATCTTTATTTCTGTAATCCTTAAGGCAGGGAAGGGATTCCTAGGGTGTTACGCCACCTCTTGCCACGAGAGGACAACAAGGAGCCCCAGATTGTGTTCAAACCCTTCTAGCCACCAGATGGCCCCCAAACACCAGCTTAACGGAGTCAAGATTTCAATTTACATCAGACGCACTTCCGCTTGGTTTTCCTTCTCCCTGAAAAGTGAACTCTCTTGTACAGGTGACCAGACAAATAGCTGGGAATTGTCTAGAGGTATACGTTACTTTTCTGAAGATGAGGAAATGTAGGAAAAAAGAGGGGCAACACTAAAGACTTCTAAAAAATTGGTTTTAGAAAGATGCCTTCTTCAAGTCGGAAGAAAAGAACTGGAAATTTGAATGTGCATTGAGGGCTTAGGTGAGTTCTAAGAATTATCATCAAAATTTTAAGTGTGTTAATGGTGTTTTGGGTACGAAAATAACAAACACAGATAACTAAAAGCAAAACAAACGAACTAAAAGTCCCCTCCCAAAGTCCTTGGAGATGGGTGGTGATTCCTAACCATGGTCATCAAATTATATTCCTGAAAGCCTGGCACTCTCATCATGCCTCCAACTCCAAAATACTAGGTGTGTGTGAACTGAAGAAACTCCTTCAGAGAGATTTTTGCTGGGCAGGAAAACGACCGGCAAAAATGTTCCCAGGGCCTCGGATGGCTGGCCTGTGGGAAGAGGAGTGGGGGTGGGAGGCAGAAAGCAATTCTGTGACTTGCTAGGGAGAAGCTGCTTTTACCGTGAAAGGCAGCAGACTCAGGAGGATTTTTCATGTTAGTTCTGGATGGTACTCTGGTTTATATTCTCCTTAAATGCCTTCAGGTTCTCCCACTAAAGATGCGTTGTCATGATTTACCTCAAGTAAGAAATCTCCATTAAAAATCAGATTCTCGCCCAGCCATCGTGGCTTAATGGTTGAGTGTCAACCTGTAGAGCAGTGATGGCGAACCTATGACACACGTGTCAGAGGTGACACGCAAACTCATTTTTTTGGTTGATTTTTCTTTGTTAAGTAGCATTTAAATATATAAAATAAATATCAAAAATATAAGCCTTTGTTTTACTATGGTTGCAAATATAAAAAAATTTCTATATGTGACACGGCACCAGAGTTAAGTTAGGGTTTTTCAAAATGCTGACACGCGGAGCTCAAAAGGTTCGCCATCACTGCTGTAGACCTATGAACCAGGAGGTCTCCGTTGGATTCTGGTCAGGGCACATGCCCTTGTTGCAGCTCGATCCAAAGAAAGGGTTGTGCAGAAGGCAGGCTGATCAATGAGCCTCTCTCATCATTGATGTTTCTCTCTCTCTCTCCCTCTCCCTCTCTCTCTTCCAGTCCATGAAATTCATGCGTGGCTAGGGTCCTTAGGCCTGGCCAGCAATTAGGGCCAATCTGTGGGGTGATCAGGGGGCCCCACTGGCATCCGCCTTGGCCGGCCTGACACAACCTGCTCACTGGACCTGCCCCCTGTCACTGCCCACTTTCCGGCCAGCCCCACTCCCCACTGCCGCCACCAGTCACCTCCCTCTGTGGGGCAACCGGCAGGGCAATTGGGGTGGGGGTGGGCCCACTGGCACCCACCTTGGCTGGCCTGGGGCCTGCAGGCTGGGGGCAGCTCCTGCGTTAAGCGTCTGCCCCCTGGTGGTCAGTGCATGTCATAGCGGGTGGTCGTTCCACCAGTGGTTCTGCAGGTCGGTCAATTTGCATATTAGGCTTTTATTATATAGGATAAGCTAGACTTGTATGTCAAGACATATTCAAGTGGTGAGGGGAGATCAGGGGGCCCCACTGGCATCCGCCTTGGCCGGCCTGACACAACCTGCTCACTGGACCTGCCCCCTGTCACTGCCCACTTTCCGGCCAGCCCCACTCCCCACTGCCGCCACCAGTCACCTCCCTCTGTGGGGCAACCGGCAGGGCAATTGGGGTGGGGGTGGGCCCACTGGCACCCACCTTGGCTGGCCTGGGGCCTGCAGGCTGGGGGCAGCTCCTGCGTTAAGCGTCTGCCCCCTGGTGGTCAGTGCATGTCATAGCGGGTGGTCGTTCCACCAGTGGTTCTGCAGGTCGGTCAATTTGCATATTAGGCTTTTATTATATAGGATAAGCTAGACTTGTATGTCAAGACATATTCAAGTGGTGAGGGGAGAGATCACAGGACTAGACCATTTATGGAAAAATATTAGATTAGATGTACACACACACACATATAATAAATTTCTGGGTCACACAAAACCATTAACTTCTATCATCTCAGGGAATTGAGCCTGGGTAGTGAGAGGGGACTTCTGCCTTTCATTTACCCCTTCAGAGTGATTTACATTTCTGTTTTTACCACTAGAGCATATTGCCTTTATAATGCCAACAAATAGATAAATCAGTGGGGAAAGTAAATAACAGCATAAGACTCAGATGTTGGTTTACCAAGATTTTACTTTAAAAGCAAAAATCACACAAAATTCTTTTAATCGCCTTTTTATGCTGATCTCTTTGGGGAATTGATACCACTCACAGAAACAAATCCCAAAGGTGGCAGCTTTTACAGAATGATAAACAGAACTGCGGTTAGAGTAGATTGTCTGGGGCCCTTTCCCAGCTCTCTGTAACTATCTGCTGAGCAGGTGGCCAATATTTGCTTTATTTCAAATCATCATCCTAAAAAACATAAACTGTTTTTTCACCTGAAAGAATATGTTTTTCAGAAACACATTGAAAGAGGAAATAAGGGCCCAAAGCACATTAGCGGAGCGGGCCAGCACGCATCGCCCAGCCAGGGTGGTGCTCGGGCCTCGGTGACACCTGGTGACACTGGGCGTGGCTGCTCAGCCGGCCTGACCAGAGACACGCCTGGCCTCCGCCTTGGGGCAGCGCCGGTCCTGCTCGGCTGGCTCCCGCGCCAGGCGGCTGACATGGGCAGAGCCGGGCTGTTGGCTTCATCTCCAGAGACAGCACTTGGCTCACACACTGGGCACACTCGGGGTCTGCAAAGCCTTCTTGGGCTCCAGCCTGGCCTTCGAAGTCAGGAAGCTTGTGGCTGAAAGGGAAGAGAAAGAAGCCGAGTATAGAGACAGAGGCCTGGGGGCCAGGTTACCGCAGAAGCAGAGCCCCATTTCCCTGCCAGAGCTGAACGACTGACCCGGAACCTCCCCACTCTGCTGAGCCCAGAGCTCTGCTACCTATATTGCATTTTGATTGACTACCGGGTACGATTTATTTCCAAAAATAAAGGGGTCAAAATTGGAGTTTGGAAATTTTTGAATTAGAGGATATTGATAGACAAGTGGTTCTTGAACATAATAATAGAACTTTTTGCAACAATTCTTCCTTCTTCCATTTCTATTCAGCTGTAAGAATAAAAGGCGAGGGGGCAGGGAACCACCGGCTGGTGTGGATCAGTGGTTAGGGTGTCAGTTGTGGCCCAAAGGGTCTTGGGGTTGATTCCGGTCAAGAGCACATGCCTGGGTTTCAGGTTCAATCCCTGACCCCAGTTGGGGCATGTGCAGGAGGCAACCGATCAGGTGTGTCTCTCACATCGATGTTTCTTTATCTCTCTTCCTCTCTCACTCCTTTCTGCTCTCTCTAAATATCAATGGAAGAAATATCCTCGGATGAGGATTAACAAAAAATAAAGGAGTGGGGGGCTGATAATACCTGCCCTCCAGAACCTCACAGAGCTGCTGGAAGGATCAAATGAGGTAACAGCCATCTTCAGCTAAGAGGCCCTTGGGAAACAAATTTATTATTTCCTTCCTTTATAATGGAGGACAGATCCAGTTCAAATATTAGTCATGTAAACAAGACCGTGTGTTTCTTTTAAAAGGAGGAGGAGGAGGAGGAGGAGGAGGAGATGACGAGGAGTCCGGATAAGAAGAAGCAAAACAATGACAGCAGCAACAGTTGTTACAATTTAAAAAGGGAAAAACGGTCTTCAAGTGCCTGCCACTTATAAAGGAAATGGGGAGGGGGACAAAGTGGGGAGGGAAGCATGGAGAGGAAGGTGCTTGTATCCACTTGTTCTGGGCCAAGGCCTGTCCAGCGTGCGAGAAGCTTCACTACTCCCTTCCATCTGCACAGAATATGATGCAGGTGTTGTTATCCCCATTTTACAGATCAGAAAACTAAGGTTCAGAGGGAATAAACCATTTGGCCAAGGTAGGGCAGAAACACTACTCACCAGGCTGGCCTGCTTCCAGGGTACATACTCCCTCCGAGCGCCCACGCGCCTTACCGCTGGCACCTCCTAACCTGGGTGAGCCGGGGCCCTGCTATTCTCTCTCCCTTTCTGTTGCCTTCCTTTAAAGTCTGTGGTCTCTCTTTCATCCCTTGTATTACTTCCTCTGTGCAGATCCTCTGTCCTGATTTCCAGCCCCCTGGACAGTTCCCAGGTAAGATCCCCGCCTGCATACGCACAGTGTCTCTAAAAGTAGCTCCTGGCCTGCCACTCACACTCCACCCCCTCCTGGGGGTAGCTCTCTTCCCCCCTGCCCCCCACGCTCAAAATCAGCAGCACTTTTGGTCGTTTCTCCCCTTCCCATATACACAATCACTCCATTATCTCAATTCTTTCTTCAAAGTATCTCTTACCTCTCACTTTTCCTTTCTACTTTTCCTCCTAACATCCCAGAGCCTTCCGCGGGCTTGGTTCCTGCGGAAGCCTCCCGCGGGCCCCTCGGGGGTCCCAACATACTCTGAGCGCTGCTGCCTGACCCATCTCACCCCCTACCTGCCCGCGCCCTCGCTGGACACAGCACAGCCTCCCGCAAACCAGGCCTGCACCGAAACAACAGTATAACACACCTGTAAAAAGCAATGGAACAAAACAAGAACAGTATAACCTTGAACTGTTGTTCAACCAGGGTCCTCCGGGCATAGCCGACCATTCCCTGCACTGCTGGCGGGCGGTGACGGTGCACTGCCTCCGACCTGCGAGTTCGCCTGGACCGGGCACTGAAAGGGACCGGCGCTGTTTACGCTCCCCGGATCTGGGTCTCACCACCAGGCAGCAAGCCATTCAAAGGTGGAGCCTGACTGGTCTTGGTTTCCCCCCAGGGCCGGCCGGGATGTGGGCAGTAGGTGCCTCCCACGTGTGCTGGATCCTCTCTCTCCCACATGCACTGGCCTCAGACGCAGCCGGGGCCGGTCAGGATGGCATCGGCCTCGGAGCCCGCGCTCAG